TGGAGAACTGAGGGGACGCAGCTGTTCTTCGGACCAGTTTAAACTTGCCCTGTCTGATGTGACCCCTTTACCCTGAAATGGTAGTCCCAGCCCCTAGTACCAGCCATTTCTCCTTCACATTATGTGATCCCTTCATCTGAAAAAGGGATGTCCCTGATGTGACGTGACACCTCCAACTCAATACAGCACATTTCACCATGATATGATGATGATCCTTCACCCTGTTGAGATGGCAAATCCCCGCCCCTCTAAGATTCCCTTAACATGACTTCTGAGAGTCTCCTGCTGTGACTCATTTAATAGTGACCCAGCGTGATCCCATTTAGATCCCAGCAACCTATCAAGACCTTCCTCACTGATTTGTCAGATGAGTTCCCATCCATCACATCACAACACAGCCTTTTCCCTGCCAGGCTCAGCTGGCATGCCACCTCCTGCCTTTCAGTGACACAACCTCCCTGCTTTTGGGTGTCAAATTCTCCATGTGAAGGAGAATTTGACACTCAAGAAGCATATTTGTTTTCAGGTACCTGCTCTCTTTAACCCATTAGTGGTTGTGCTCATAGACCCTGGTCAGGATCAAGGACCCATTCGGCCGATCTCTGCATCAACACAGGCAAACATATGGTTCGAGTCTCAAAGAATTTACAGTCTAAAGAAGAAAAAGCCAGACAGAGGTCGGGTCACCTGAGCACAGTGACCGGATGCTGGCATGCACACATCCTGTTAGTCATCTCTCTCTTCATTTGTTTTTATATATTTGCTTTATTTATATTATTCCATATTTTCCTGGCCCCAGTGGGTGTTTCACAGGGGACTTGTGCTCTGGCATGTCTTGTGTGCAGGGTGTACTCACGTGCTTTCACCTGGACCCAGGGAAGTTATTTTTGGTTTGGTGATCCTTGCCTAGAGGCTGGTACTCTTGTGATCCATTCTGCCTCAGAAATGGATAGTGACAGCCTGCACTGAGGTGTGGCAGGGCTCCTGTGCTCACCACGTTCTCTAATCTATCCTAGGCATGTCTATAGAGCCCACCAGTAATGATCTTATTTAGTACTTATATAGTGCTGACCTTCAAAGCACGGTACAGCCATTAGCTAATCCTCACAGCATTCCTGGATGGTAGGTTGGTAAATATCCTCCCCATTTTACAGAAGGAAAGCTGAGGCATAGAGAGGTGAAGTGACTTGTGCTAGGCCAGAGAGTGAGACTGAGCCAGGATTAGAAGTTAGGATGATCTGACCTCAATCCCTTTCTACTCAGTTCTCCAGACAACATTGCCATCACCATAGTACCTGAGCAGAGACCAGGTAAATTAGACCTGCATTATAGAGCTGCAGTGGACTTTATAGGGGTTCTGCTCTTCACCCTTTTCAGCTTCTAGGAAGTGTGTGTGAGAGACACATCCATTTCTCATGCATGATGAAAGTGGCAGCAATAGAAAGAGAGATGAATCCATGAGCCTGAGTACATACAAGCAGCTTCAGCTGGGAGTTCTCCTCTTTGCCACAGCACCAGCCCATCCCCCAGTGTCCCCCTTGGAATAGTTATAGGAGAAGAGAGCACTAGCCTGTCCATCTTGCTTTTCTTCTGCCTGGGTCACCTCAGCACCTGCTCTCTGCTTGGAGGAGACCTGGCTTGACCTCGTACCCCGGTTACTGTGGCCTTAAGAACGCTTCAGTAGAGCGCTATGGAACCTCTTTCAAGCATACAATTATGCCCGATCCTCTGCTGGTATGAATCTGGATAACTGCACTGCCGCCAATGAAACTATGCTGGCTTATACCAGCTGAACATCTGGCCCTTAGAGTTTCCTGAGCGACAGACTAGGTCTCTCCTCATCTGTGTCTGCAGTGTGGGATGAGAGAGGAATTCTTTTCATGGTAGAGCCCACCTGAACTGCCCTTCTGTCACGGTACCACCTGCTCATTTTGTAGGCAGGGAAGAGACCAATAGCCCCCCTATCTCTGGAGATGAGCTCTGGCTGCAGCTTGAGCTGTGCCAATGGCCAGAGTGCTGCTAAAGATGTTGTCTTGGCTGGAGCTGTTTGCACTCTGTGTGTGGCTAGACATGTCTAGACATGGGTTTTTCTGAAGCAGCTATCAAGCACAGTCGACCACAGCTGAAGTGACCACATTTCTGTTTGCCATTGGTTGTTTATGCCCCCAATACTTCTTCTTAACCCCTTGTTCTCATCTGTAGGTCAACTCAACTGATCCAGAGGAATATTCCTAGCTGAACATACTTGCAAAATATCCAGTAATCCCTATCCTATATATACCTTTATTTTTTGCACTTGTAATATTGAGCAATAACTGGAATTGTTACAGGAACAGATGCCCTGAAGTCATGGGCTTAACTGGCAGGAGGATCTGGCCTGTGCTGGGAATGACGGTTCTATCTGCTCTTCAGCAGCACCTGTGATAGTGGCAGCAGTGAACACCCCTGTTCCACAGCTGCCTGAGCCGGAAGGAGCTGCACTTGACCTGCCTTTGGTTTTCAGTGGTAGTGAGACAAAGCCAGTAGGGCAGAGACCTATCTGCTGTTGCCCCAGGGCTCCTGACCTTGAAGAACATAGTTGAGGCTGGTCTTAGCAGCAGCCAACCTGGGTGGAGTCCTGCACCAGCTGCACACTGCTTGTTTTCACTCCCTCCTTGAGGCTGTTTCATTGGATTGCTCCATTGCTACAGAGTTGTGATATGAAGCAGCCCCTCCCTCTGGTTCCTCTTCTCCCCGCCCTCCTGCCAAACGTTCTGGATGCAATTTCTGAATGAAAACTGGGACGTATCTGGGCAACCAGCTTCCAGTCCTAAAAGAGGCTCCAGGCGGCATGTGGTGCCTGGTGCTGCGGCTTAAAGAAGGGTAAAGGTAAATAAGTAAATCATGCAGTGGGCTGTGCGATTCCCTAATGAGCCTGTTTGTCCCAAGCGCTGTGCTGAGGAGCCTCTTCTCCTTGGTGATAACCTTTCTGCATATTAATATTATGCATGTATTCCATGTGACTTCTTCTGACTTGCCACCTCCTCCTTCCCACTCATTTAAATAAAAATAATTTATGTGGACATTCCTTCAGTCAGGATTTTCTCTCCCCCCCCTTTAATATTTCGCTGATGCTTTGCGCTCAAATGAGGTCGTTATGCTTTCGCATATCATTAGGGCTTTATAAAGAACAACAGCGACATCTGCATGTGCCGCAGCGCCACAGAGATGGGGGGAAAATACGAAAACAAGCCCCGAATGAGCTCTGAGCGTGTCGGCTCTCTTTCCTCAGCTTCCTTCGCCACCACCATGTACACGAGTAATTGTACAGTGTAATCACATCATGGCTCATCTGAATATTCATAGCCGAGACAAAGCTTTGGAGGAGAAGAAATGTGGGGGAAGGGGAAGGGAGAGAATTCCAATATAAAACAGCATTTCATTTCCAAATGAAGGTGTGCATTCTGCACAAGGAATGGATTTGAAATCCAAATGGTCTGTCTGCACCATTCAAAATCTGGGGGCAGTAGGGTAGCATTGCACACATACCCTCTCCATCCAGAGGAAAAATAAAACAAAACAACAAACAGCTACAGAAAAGCCCCCAGTAGAAGTGATATTTGAAGAGTCGCCAACAGTGGCTAACCAGCTGCTGTTTTACCAGGAATGAAATAGTCCATTGAGGGAGCTTTAGAAAGACCCCAATTAATATGTTGTGCATGTATAAGATCTACAAAGAGCCCACTGTATTCCTCTCTCCCCCCCCAACCACCACCTTCATTCCCTGGCCAGTGCCACTGGAGACTGATCTTAGCTACCAAATAATTGATTAATCACTTCACCAGTGACAACACTCCTCTCCAAAAAGCAAGCAAGAAAAAAAGAAATAACAAACATAAAGAGGCAACTGTTCGCTAATTAGGGTGTAAATTGCCGCTGGTTCCATCCCTCTCTTTACCTTAATAAAAAAAAGAGAGAGTAAGAGAGAGAGAAATATAATTCCCATGTTAATGTGTATGTTGTCTTCATTGTTTTACTTTTACTGTGTATATCCTTTATTAATATTAACCAAATAGGGTAGTGGTGTTTGTCAAAGCTGTGGCTGGCTCTGCCAGTGCACTCCCCAAAGAGATCCTATTTCCATACCACTGGAGTTTATATTCCTTTAAATGTCTAGCGCAGCACCATTTCCCTCTTTTTAATACACCACTCTGCTGGAATTAGAAGAATCCAAGGTTATATCCAACATCAAAGGTTTCCCAGTCATCATGATTTTAGTAAAAGTGAAGACAGCTCATGGAACGAGTCCCTGGCTTTTGAAGATAGGCATCAGAGGGATCTTCCTCTCTCTCCCCCCACAACTTTGTACCTCTCCTGGCTCTGAATGTCCCACGCTAACGCGGTTTAATGATATGCAAATGAAATATGCATAAAACCATTCTACTGTATGATGATTAAACACTGGAGACATTAACAGCCGACGCTTCACTGTTTGACTGTAATAATCTTTCCTGAACATCCAGTTTGATTGCGGAGTTATGGAAACCCATAGCAGTTGGCAGAGAGAAAGCGAAGGAAGGAGAGATGCAGGGACGCATCACCCATCTCTGCGTTTATCCCACTCCAGGAGACGTTCCCCCTTTGTACTGCATTCCTAGTGCTGTCTTTTGTAATCCACCCATGCGGTCGCACCAGGGCGATTAACGGGAAAAAACCTCTTTTCTCTTAATGTTTCAAAGCTCATTAGCCAAACGATTATTCCTCATTAACAGCGAAAGCTCATTCATTAAAAGGAAAAATATGCCCAAAAGATGCCAGCGCTGTTAATCCTGAGCCCTGTAGCTGGGCTGTAAATCCCGTGCTAGTATTTTCCATTCAAAAGGGACGCGCGCCAATCCACATTTTTTTTTTTAAAAAAAAAAGGAAAAGAAAACAGTTTGTATGTTTTGTAAAATCCGCAAGAGAGGCAATCAATATTCCCATTGTATGACTTTATTTTTGTCTCTCCCTTTTGATTCCAGCGCCCATCCCTGGCTCAGCGCCCGGTGCCAACAGAACACCTTTCAGGATCCACAGCAGCGCAGATAACGTAAGTAGCCAGCTATCCCTGAAACCCGCTTCCAAAACCCCAAACCCCACAAAGTGAGTGTGGATTTTCTCCTTCTCACCCCTCCAGTGTGCCACCCGGCTTCACAAGTAGCACCTTCCAAATCTCGCCGTCTTCAAGTTTGTGCATGTCTGTGTGGCATCCCTCCTCCTCCTTCACTCCCATAGTGGATCTTGTAAAGGGCTTCAGATCGGCCCCATTCATCTCCCTGGTGATAGCAGTGAATGTAGATAAATCTCTGCCTGCCTGCTTGCTGCTGGAGTATGATTTTTATTTTGTATTCTGTGTATACCTGGGTCAAAAAATGGGATGTACATGCACATGCACACTCATGTGTGTGGGTGTGTGTCTCATATACACACACACACACGTGTGTGTGTAGAGAGAAATAAATACACACGTGTGTATACATAAACATACACGTACCTCACATACATACACATCTATGTGCTTGAAAATGTCTGAGGCAGTGTGTGCATATATATGTGTGTGTGTGTGTGTGTGTGTGTGTGTGTGTGTATACACAGATAAGCATCTCTAGCTATATCTATATAAACATTCCCCCTCCTCCCAGCAGAGGCTGTGTGCATCTATGATCCTGCCCTATAAGAGTTGTATTCCAGGCTTCCTTCGGAATTCTGTTTGGAGACCTTTATGCTCCCTTCTCTGTCTCTCCCGAGCTGCAGAATTGGCACCTTTCCCTGAGGTTCTCCGAATGGCAAGTGGCATCGGCTGTAGCCTGCATTCTTGCAGCTTCCTGTGGCATTTCTCTCTCGATGTCGGCAACTCCCTTTTGTTGGTTGTTGACTGGGCTGGGGGTTTTTTGTTTTATTGTTTTGGTTTTTTCTTTAGTTAATTTATAAATGAACCAAATGTCAAACAAGCCAACAGCTTGCAAAAAAAAAAAAAAAAAAAAGCCCCGCACAAGCGCCTTCTGCTGCGACAGATGCCCAGATTGCCCCTGGCACGGAGGATGGGCACAAGGGGTTTGTTGTTGTGGTTTCTCTTTTGCTGTTTTTGTTGTTCCCTTTAAAAATAAAGACTCCAGGATGCCGGCCTCGGCTTGGAACGCAGCGGTGTCATGGCGGAGACGACGGCCTTTGTTTCACAGGGTGTGAAAGCATCCCTTATGCTGGCTCCACTGCGGCAGAATGACGTGTACAGGGGGGAAAAGTGCTGAAAGTCAGATTTGTGCCTCGTCGGTGGGGGAGTCCCCCAGATCCCCAGTAGCTGAGTCCCTGTGTCCGAGGACGGGCTTGCAGTGGAAGAACCTAGTCTGTAATCCTGGCACTTGCGCCTTCGGTTGCTGCTTGCTGTTTGCTCCTGGGGGTCTGGATAATCTCCCTTAGCTTTACCGCACTGTCTGGCCCGCATACAGGGCCCCTGTAACATATACCCGCTGCTGTTATCACACGAAACTGTGGCGTTGCCACTGAATGGATGGCACTGTGCCAACTCTTCTGCCATCCGCCCTTGCAGCTTCTTTCCTCCCTCCCTTCCTCCCTCCTCCTCCTCCCCCCATCGACTTGACGTTAATTAACACACGGGTTAATTGATTTTAAAAGCTGAAGAATTACAGTTAACTTTTCCCACAGGGTACAGACGCCAGCCGCTTGGCACAATTCTGCCTTTCACACTGGTGCAGGGGGGCAGAGAAAAGCCCTCAGCAAAACAAGCCACTGCTGAGGAAATATTGTCTGCTTATTGAAGTACAGCTGATGGAAGCCGACGAGCTACAGTCTCATCCTTTGCAATATGTTGCCATTATATTTTCTTATAAGTAATCAAAGCAACTCCTCCTCCTCTCCCTCCGTCACCCGCCCCCTTTTAAAAATGAAAGCGCTGCGGAAGTTTGAGTAGGAAAAAAATGGCTTATTACAATAAACAAAAAAAACCAACCCATCTTTGCTTTATTTAATTAAATAGTTATGAAGGAGAGGGCTCCCCACCCCAAGCACACTGAAACGATGGGGTAGGCAGTTTGAATATTGCTGCCTTTTATACATTGGTCCTGTAGCCCCGTATTTTTTGTCTCCCTAATTGGCTCAGATGTGTTGCTAGTGGTGAAGAATCTCAACCAGGGGGAAAGTTGGCTCGTTGTAATTAAGAACAAAATTTACCATGTGAGAGCTTTGTTTTTTGATTTCTCTCTCCTTCACCCCCAATCTCTGCTGCAAATGAGGGCAAATTACAGTGCAGATGGGAGGAGACATGGCAATGCTTGGAACTTGCTGCTTTCACTTTTTTATGCTTTCGTTTTATTTCATTTTGTTTTTTAAAAGCATGAAGCAAGTGAAGCGACAAGAGGAATCCATTATGCAAATCATGTCACATTTGCATAATGTCTCATGACTGGAATATGCAAATGAGCTGTATAATTTATGAGTGCCAGTGTCTGTCTAAAAGTGTTTCCCATAATTTAAAAAAAGTGAGCCTGTGAGACATGGGGAAGGCGGCTTGGCTTGCTGCCCTACCAGGGAAGCTCTGAGCTTTCTCCTCAAAGTGCTCCCTGGTAGCAGCAGCAGAAATTAAACTTCCAAATGCTCATTAACCCATCAGAGGCAAAGACCCCTTTCGCTCTCTGTCTCTCCCCACCCTTTCTTTTCTGTCCCTCCCTCCAAGTGCACCCACCCCCACTTCTAACTTCTCCACAAACCACATGACTTATACATAGGATTTCACGACCCATTGGAAAAGAGAGACGGTTTCTGGGCAAGCTTGCTGTTTGCTTGCTTCCTTGTTTGTTTGTTTGAATCAGGATGACTCGGAGACAGTGGATGAGAAGAAGAGTCTGCTCCTTCCAGCTGTGTCTTTGAGACAGACTGGCTTTGAAGATGCAGTGTGTATCAGGGAACAGCATTTAAAGTTTCTGTACATGGCAGGCATTGTGGCATGTGTCAGTGAGATTGCTCGATGTTTGAAATGCATTGTGTCTAACTCATGATTTCAGTAAGGGATCTGTGTCCGACTTCTTGAAGGGCTATGAAGGTCGATCTAGTGATGGCACTACCCAGCAAGAGCGAGTTCATGGCTGGAGCTGGCGAGCTCCAGTTCCAGCCATAAGAAAGTCTTTGAAATGCTCTGAAAATGCAGGACTGGTATCAAGACTCTTTATGCCCTTTACTTTTTACCCAGGACTTGTGAGAGTCCTGTTTGAGCCTAGAGTGACTGCAGGGCTTGGGATTACAGTAAATAACAGAGCGCTTAGATACTTTCCAGTGGTGCAATGGCACCCACATGCTACATGGATGCCTGCCTGAGAAAGAGCTAGAACAAGAGTAAGTAATTATTGATAACGATATTTGGGAAGGCGGATTTTCAATTTTGACTGTGCTGTACAGATATGGGGAGGTCGTTTTGATCCCAAAGTGAACTCAGTGGTTTGGAGTTGTCTCTTTAAACATGTTACAGTCTGTGGATGTCATTGAACTCGTAGTACTGGCATTCTGGGAGTGAGTGCAGTGCTTGGGGTGAGTGTGTGGCAGTGGTTGTCAGTTTTGAGTTGAAAAGGCCCCGTTCGGTTATGAAGCTGTTTTCTGAGTGGGAGAGAAGGGTCAAAAACTTCTGACAGGAATCTCAATTTTCATTTAAAAATGAAGCAAGTTTCTAATCTTTCTGGTTTCAAAGAAAAGTTTCTGAATGTGAATGAAGCTGCCTTAACTGATGAACGTATAATTAATGACAGCTTTCATATGAAGGCATAAATTCCTACTTTTAATATAATTCTGTATGTAAAGTTACCATATTTATATGCACTGTAAGTGTTGGCTTTGGCCATACATGGCATAATGAGCTTTTAAAATATTAACAAATTATTGTGTGTTACCATGTTTTTGTGTGTGTGGCTAAAACAGCACAATGGATTTCAGGACATGGGCACAACATAATTTTGAGGTGTGAGGTCACAAGAAGAGAAAGTAGGTGTGTTTTGAATCTTGGAAGGGAAGGTGAGAGTTTTTGAGGAACCTGTGAGAAAGCAGTGACAACCTTACACATCTAGACTTCAGAAGGTTTGTTTGTTTGTTTGTTTGTTTTCCCCAAATACCTGGAAGTTTGCTGCCTTCTTCCTGTTCTGAGAAGAGAGGTGTCTGCCGAGCAGCCCCTGCGGTGCATCAGACCACACAGTTCCTCACCGGGTAGAGCTCAGGCGAACTTAGAATGTGCCTACAGGAGAGGACTGAGCCTATGTATAGGGAGGATATGTGACCTACACCATGAGCACTTGGACAAAGAGAATGGGGGCATCCTAGCAAGTCACAGGGCATCAGCACCATTGGGAGTCAGGAGTGGAGAAGCAGCAGCTGGCCAGAGAGGATGGGAAGGGAATGGAGAACAATGATGCTGTAGCACTGGAGAGTGAGGGAAAAGCTGGTCTCCTGAGGAACAGTGAGGGAAGAAAGGCTTCCTGAGCAGGGTGTGGAGTGGTAGCACAATGGTAGCGTTGTCCTTCTGATGCTAGCAGTGATGAGAATCCCTTCGGGGTATGGCTGATGTTGAGACGATGGGAGCAAGGGATCTATTGTGTGAGTAAAATGATTGGCAGGCTACCGGGATCGGAATTCTGTCCCTACTTCGTGGGAGTTGTCTGTCTGTCTGTCTTTCGCTCTTTGCAGGGCACTGGCTCAACTCGCTGCTGCTCTCTGGCTGTCAGTATCAGCTGTCCAGTCATTTCTTAGATAAGCAAGAGCACAAATGAAATATTGATAAGTTTTAAACTAAATGAAGCAAAATTATTGTTCTTTCCTGGGATGCTGTGTATACTTCTGGGACCCTGCTCTTCCTGCTTTGCTCTCTTCTGACCTACACAACTCGTTCTGGACACCTTCAGTGCCACCCCTGAGTAGCCTAGAGGGTTGTGGAGGGGGCCTGAGGGGCTCTCCTCCCCTCTGCAGCCCACTGGCGTGGGGATAACAGGCTCCATTTTAGACTTTTAGCCTCTGTCATTTCGCTGCTTTGGGGCTTTACTAACTCCAGCTATGGTC